GAACTTCCATTGAAATTTTTATAATTCAAATGACAATTTTTCCAACGATTGAAACAGGGTAAAAAAATCAATGAAAATTCATACAACAATAAAATTCAATGAAAATTCACAAAACAATAAATAACGGTAATTGAAATCATTAAATCCACTAAATTTCAATGTAATTTAATTTGATATCTGATGGAATAACCAATGAAATTTTATAATGAAAGTTATACCAATGAAGTATCCATTGAAATTTTCAGTGGAATAACATATATATATATATATTATTTTATATAACCACATACTATTTTATATAAACTATTTTCTTCGGGTTGCTAACTCAACGGCAGAGTACTCGGCTTTTAAGTGCGGCTAGAATTTTTTATACATTTGGATGAAGTGAGGAATTCGTCCATACCGTTGGTAAAGTTTGAAAGACCGCGACTGATCCTGAAAAAGAATAAAAGGAAAAAATAGCATGTCGTATCAATGGAGAGTTTTGAGGATATTTCATTCTTCTTGACTCGGTACAAAATCTTGTTCAAATTTTGGGGCTTTTTAATTGAACTTCCATTGAAATTTTTATAATTCAAATGACAATTTTTCCAACGATTGAAACAGGGTAAAAAAATCAATGAAAATTCATACAATAATAAAATTCAATGAAAATTCACACAACAATAAATAACGGTAATTGAAATCATTAAATCCACTAAATTTCAATGTAATTTAATTTGATATCTGATGGAATAACCAATGAAAATTTATAATAAAAGTTATACCAATGAAGTATCCATTGAAATTTTCAGTGGAATAACATACCATTGGATTTTCATTGCAATATAATATTTTTTTATTCCTTCTTAAACATTAAAACTTTTATTATGTAATTTTTCTTGTTAATTAATTGTGTTTACAATTATTGTATAGAAAATATATTAGCAAGGAACCCAATTTAGAAAAGCATATTTCATCACCTGTTAATAAAAAATATAGCTAGCAACATTACTTTTGTGTATTATTTTTGTCATCCCCAATTCTTGCACCCTGTTGTCTGCGGGAAGTTCCCGATTTCACATAAACTGGGCCCACATGTTCTTCACCCACAACACTATTAAATGAAATTACAATATTGCCATTATAAAATCCTTTAACACTATTAGATTACAAAGTTGCCATTATAAAAATGATAAAATAAGGTTATTTTAGGAAAAACATATTTTTACAGATTCATTGGCTCTTTTATAATAGTATAGATAAGCTACCTTTTCAGCT